ACGGTATAAAATGAAAAAATAGCCAAAGCTGCTAGTACACAAGTCAGTAGTATACATCCGAAAATGACCTTGGAAGTACATCGAACTGATCTAACGACTATTGTCCTAGTAAAGAGATATTCTGGATTATGAATCATATAAAAATAAAAAAAGACATACGAAGATGTTTCTAGTGTTAAATTTGTCTCTGTATTTGTAGTGGCATTTTCAATGGTTGTGTTAGAAATATCATTGGATGTTTTTTCAAGAATACAGACAGGGCGAACAGTATTCGTTCGCTTTTTTCGATAATCATTTATTTTAGATGCAATTCGAACTATTTTAGGGCAAGTCCATTTAAGAATGATTGCGAGACCACCTTGAAGACTAAGTAAAAGAGTGATTATATTGAGTAAGTTGAATTTTTGAGCACTAGTATAGGAACAATACGATGGTAAACATTGCTCAAAATAAGATGTATAATTCGTCTTATTTGACCATTGTTCAATGAATAGATTATCAATAAGTTCAGCTATTTTAGTGTTAATCGAGAAACGACTCTTCATTATAGAGAGAGGTTCATGAGAATTGCTGTAATTAGTATATTGATGAATGAGATTAATACATGAACTATCATAAAAACATTCAAGAGTCGAAGCACGAAATGATTCACTTGGTGTACATCCTATTTTTAAACCTTTAATTGGAATTGAAATTATTTTAGGAGAATTGGATATGATAAAATTTGCTTGAGTTGTACAATTTGAACATAACCCACAAGAACATTCATCATCATAGATTAGAGCTCGAGTAGGCGCATAAAATGTATCAGTTGTATCCTTGGATACAATGTATTCGAAAGTTGTTCCATATGTTGACATGAAAGCATTTCCATGATTGATAGTTCGAATTAAAAAGAGAAGATGACGGAATGTTGTAGGGGCATTTGATTTACTCTGTTCCATCAACGATTCAAGTGTTTGATTAAAATTTATTTCTGAAAGAAGTTCAGAAGTGACAAGTAATGAGGTACGAAATTGATTGATCGAATTATTCACTGCATTCATGGAAAGTTGACATAATCCTTGAAGAAATTGTAGATGAGCAGAAAGAAAACGACGATAGTCTCTTCGTGCATAAATAGACAAATTAGCAGCAAGACCAACTGTAAGATTAATTCGCCATTGTTCCGATGCGAATGGACTCGAGCAGATCTTTAAACGATAAGAATAAGAAAAAGAAAAGATAGTATTCTGAACTAGCATTTGACGTTGTTACTACGATACTGTGATAAAATAGACAGTCTTTTAGTTCATTAAATATTATTCATTTTTGTTAATGAATGATAAATCGTTCCGAAAATACTCGCGAACGAAATCCTACATTATGATAAGTGTTTTGTTCGAACTGATGACTTCTGACAATTTTTCTTTCCTTTATTATAACCTCTTTGTTAGTAATAAACGTAGAATATGTTGTCTAAATCTTTTTCCTTTGTGTTTTGTAAATTGAAAAAAGTTCTTTGGTCTTAATTTTAGTTTATTAGCTAATTGCCTAAATTGAGTCATTTTTTACTCTCTAGATGTTTCAATCATGGATATCGACTTAGCATTCGTGTTAGGAAAAGAATGGTTGAGAAAGGGCACAAAAGATGCACGCAGATGGATGAGAACTTACATTTACTCATCCTTCTAGAACAGTATACTCCTTGTTATTAATGTCATTCAATATCATTGTCTTTGTTAGAGTATTATAGAAAGCGGTCTAGTGCTTGTTGTCCTTAGTCGTTACGTCGAAATAATATTGTCGACTTAAAGCTTATACTAACTATTTTTTTTCGAGCGGTATAAGATGATCTCAGAAAATAATCAATAGAAATACTGTTAACAAGACTGTGAATATTATTACCTTATCTTACCTGGTGAAATATTGGCTCAATTTCTACAAATTGGCTATATACCGATGCAATCACTGAACATGGACATTTTAATTTATCACCATGAAGCAGTTTCAGATTCTTGTAAACATTGAAAGACGGTTTATCAAACGTTTTCGTCATAATTTGTGGTTCAATTAGGGTATATATAGTAAGAATACTAAGACCACCGATAAATAAAGCAATGTACAGACGAGTTGCCCATCGACCAAGACGTTTAGCTTTTATCGGATCAACATTACTACCAATATCACTCAACGAAAATATGTTTAGATTAATGAGAGTGGTACACAGAAGTTTGATCACATTTCTCATAGTCATTTTGAATCGATCGAACCAGTTTCCATGAACTATACACACAAAAACAAGCTATACATTTTTGATGGTGATTGTAGATCGATGAGAAACAGGGTATATACGTGTGGGTGGTGATAACCTATCATGCTAGAAGATGAGTGTCACTTTTAGAGATGAGCATATAAATGAAGTCCTTCTTTAACTCTTTATCAACACTTTAATACTCGCGTCTACTACTATGTTTACTTTTGATTTAATCAAATTTTATATATGTTTGATTTGTGTAAATCTCACATTCTTCTACATGGATGCTTCTTTAAATGGCATAAGTTATGAAATCTCTGGGTTTCCTCGAACTACTAGATTTCTTCTCATGACATGACTGTTGAACTTCTTGAATTGTTAATTCTTAGGTGATGGACACTACTGAAGATTAATGAATAGATGTGACATAGATTTAAATATTATTGAAATTTGCCAATTCCATTTTAAAAGTTTGTAGTTGCTAGTTTTGACTATTATTTACAAAGTATGCTCTAAGATCACGTATAAATTCTTCTTATCTTTCTTCTCATTTTATATACACTACATTAGATGAAAACCGTTGTTGTATGAATACATTTGCTCTGTAATATTTTTTATAGACACCAGATCAATATCTACCTTGTTCGTCTTGTTGTTGGTTCTGTTGTCTTTTGTTGATCTTTTCCCATAAGTAATAGACAAATCGGACAAGATACGGTGTGATAAGACGTAGTGAGACAACAAGTCCACCAATCACAGACATCATTGTTATAATTATTCCCGCAATAGTCTTTTTACGAATTTTTTCAGAATATGTACAATAAATCGGTGCACATGATTCGTAAAAGTCCTTGTATGACAAAAATACATTCCATTGTTCCATCATCATTTCTTCAACTATAGTTGAAACTGAAGTATTTGGAGGAAAACGACTGCGTGTTGGATCATTGATTAAAGGACTAATATCATATAACGATATTCTTAACTCACTGGAAATATCAGACTTTTCTAAGTAACTCAGTAGAATTAGAAAACAATCTGAATCTGCATACAAACATTGTAAGGTCGAGAGCAGCAGAGAATCACTATTTAGGCAACCTCTAATGAAAAATGGTATTACATAAAGGTGATACATGCCACCAGCCAATTCAGGAGTATAAATGACGTTTGAACCTTGACAATGAGGGTCAGTTGAACAAACACAGGTGAGCACTGTCGAATTAATTTCTGGAATGCCAGGTAAAATAAATGATACCTAGAAATAAAAAGAAAGATTTACGTTTTGCTATCAATTGGTTTTTGCAAAATTATATAAGAAAGAAATGGATTGAGATACCTTTCGTATGAATCAGCTTCTGAAAAGTACAATGGAGATTATATAAAATCTATCACATATTGGTATTCTAATGCCATATCATTCTGTTATTTTAGGCATGGATTAATATATTCTCGAAAAATAGCTTGAAAGGAGTTATGCTCACTCTAATACTTGTTCTAGGTGCGCTACTATAACTTGGAATGAATCGTAGAGGTCCAATTTTCTAAGCCTGATTTAGTCCACTCAAAGCTCTGCTATCGTCACTTAATAAAATCTACAGTCATGCTCAAAAAATCATTCTACATCACTTTTACAATTATGCTGGTTTTTTTGAGGTATAATCGTGGATCGCATTTACCCAGCACTATCTCTTAAATGGCGGTTTTATGTTGAAAAACAATTAGCATATAACGAGAAATAGTATAGCGACATGTTTTTTCGAATATTTATATCGAAAAACATCAGATAAATATATCCTGTAGGATTATCAATCAGTTTTTTCTGATGACACTAGTACTTTTTAATTGTACACAGTTCTGATTGTTTCTGTTAGTAGCAACAAACAAAACAGGCTTTCATAACTGTATTTTTGAGAAGAAAGACAACATTTCATTATTCTATGCAATAACACACCTGTGGTAAGAACTGATTGTTTATTTCATTTTTTATAATGGTTATGATTAGGTTAGCATGCAAATAATCTATGTCAGCCATTAATGGTCCCATATAAGGCTGATCGACTTGCAATAAAAGACGTACAACGTCGTTCTGAAGACTAAAGTCGAAAATCGTTGAATTATAAAACTGTCTAAGAGTTGCATTTAATTGTATATCGAACTCGATTTCATTAAATACAGTTGACGCGATAAACAACTGCTTCAGAAAGCGATCAGCACTATCATCAATCGTTTTATTAGCCAGTCGACAAAAATCAGACAACTGTTGGAATTGTGCCCGAGCTCGATTACGCCAATCATTAGGATAATACATATTGATACTTCTTTGTAATAAAGTAAACCAATCATCAGTAACAAAACCACTTGAGCACACCTGATGCAATGCTGGAGATAAGGAAACGAATGAACGATAAGAGATAGTTTTGGTTGAACAAGGACAATTGAGTGTAGCTGAGTGCAACGTCTGTAAATTTTTATACGCAGTTAATGATGGATTTAGAATAGTCACTGTAGCTGTTTGAGTACTCAATGAATTGAAGAGAAGAAGCACAATAATTGAACCTAATGAGAAAAACCAAAAAATAAACATGTTATTATAAACATATCTTCGATAGAAAGATTGCAAATAACATTCAACAATCTTAGTATGTCGACAATGAACTTATTTTTGTTCAACTCGAAGCAATCTGCAATTTATGAATGATAAAAAGATATGGATTGATGACAAATCAGACTACTAAGTGATAAACAGAAAAAAATGAGAAACTTTAGTAGTTCATCAACATAGATCTCAACTCAGACATCAGAACTCTTTTATACAATATCTTATGTAAGATTCAATAGTGCGAAACTTGATAATTGTATCTAATCTTTGAGATCTTAATCAAAAAGTCAGATATTATATTAATCAATATTGGCAGTTTAGATGTTCAAATAATGAATAACAACGATATTTCATGTACATCTTTCATTATTTAATCATCTGACAATCTACATTTGACTATTGAATATTTTAGTATCTAAGTTCACGTATACATAGTAAAAGTAACTATACCAGTTAGTAAAATCAAATAAATACGTGTGATAATCTTTTGTTGTTTGATATCGTTTTCTGTTCGCTTATTGACGTTCTTAAACAAGTTTAATCGTTTCATCAATTGACAAAATTTACGTAGATATATTTTGTGACACACTACAAATTGAATATAAATTATATTTATGATGAAACTTTTTCTTAGTATATCCGAAAAACTTACCGAAATGCATACGTGCGTTTCTTGAACGATGTTTGAATTTTAATGAGACACTTACCAAAAATGATGCAATTAAACGAAGTATTATCACGAGACCACCATATAGACTAATGAAAAGAGTAATTGCGTATGAAATATTAGCTCGATCTGTTGCCGTGTATGTACAGACTGAAGGTTGACATTCATTAAAATACTCTGAATAATTTATTTGTGGCAACCATTCTTCAATAAAAAGATTATTGAAATAGTCGTTCACAGAAAGATTTTGTTGTTTCGAAGTCAGAACAGAGTCGATCCAGTTAACATCCATCTAGACAATATGAATATGTATGAAAGTTAAAAGAGTGTTATACATACATGATTAAGAACTGGAAAATAATCGGATAATAAGTGCAGACACTCGATTTCATATAAACAATCGAGTGTACTCTGAAGAAGAGCTTCGAGAGGAGTACATGCTGCAAAAAATCCATTGACAATTGTAGAATTTGGCATCGATTCGAATGTCTGTATTCGTTCCGTAGTCATGTAATCATTTAACAGAGGATTGAGAGTAGCTGCACTGGTTGGGTTATCCCGATTACAGAACACACCTCCACTTGTAGAACGATACCCTACTGAGAATGAAATTATATCAGACCTATTCCAGTCGGTGGATATTTCAGCTATTAAATTTGTATTAAGAGCTGACACTAAGTAGTTCCCCCGTATAGTTGTTCTTAAGTAGTTTAAGAACATAACTATTCGAGCAGATGCACTGTTTTTAAAAGATTCCGTCGTACTATTCACTTCGAATTCAATTTGTGTGTCAGTAAGAAGATAAGTGGTAATAAAATCATTGTTTCCAACATCATTTTCAACATGAAAAACTGCATCTTCAGCGATTGAACACAAATTAGACAAAAGTGCAAACTAAATAGAAACAAAATCAATCAGTTAATATCTAAAAGATTATAAGGTGCAGCAAATGTAAAAATCGACTAAAATGTTTTTTTCGCGATTTATATATGGTTTGATAGAGCCTGTCGAGCTCTACGAAACTGTATATTTTAAAAATTTTCTTGAGAGTGTGGGTGTGAGTGTACGATTATTACAATACGTCTAGACCACACTC